ATCGCACAATTTGACCAAGTATTGACGACACAGCGTTGGTTTGAACGAACGGCACTATGGCAGCAACATAGTCTTAGAACACAAGATAGGAAGAGATATGAAGAGTTACGAGTTGGGAATGACTCCCAGCTCCTACAAACCCCAAGAGCCGAGGTACAGTGATGTGGAACAGTGCCACACTGTCCCCAACCACGAAGGGTCTCGAAACTACCCTTCACTAGGGCCTACACCAAGTGAAATGTTACACTACACAAAGTAATGTAACTATCTTCAATATCTTGAGGTGCACCCTTTTGGCGAGCTTCGAAATCACTTGAGGCTTGACACCAAGGCTCAGGCTCTTCATCACAAACTCATCCTTGAGTTCTTGATGGGTCTTCTACACACACCTGCGACACGCCGAACGTTCGACACAGGACAAAATAGAAACCGCGCACGACAAAATAGAAACCGCGTGCGAGACACAAACGACCGGGTAACACGCGTCTAGCGATAACTCGCTATTGACTCGACACACACACTCGACATCATGAATCAACATTCACACACAATTATAAGCATGAAATATATATTATCCCATGCTCTCATACCATTTCATACACACACACATGCACGCACACGGACAACAAGCCGAGTGCAAACCGTAGGGTTGCACCAACAGGTAGGAAACCGCCGCGCGCCTCGGGGCGCACGGCGGGCAGAAAACCCTCGCCGGAAGAAGGCGTCGCACGCCACGGGGGGTGCAACAGACAAAGTAGCAGCGGAAGCAGTTAGATGGTGTGCCCACCCACAGGATCGACCCAAGGGGGTCGACCTGCTCTGAAACCATGTCAAAGTTAGCATGCAGAAACAAAATTGAAGAAAGGAGGGGTTTCACTAGCAGCAGTTGGGATACATATAGGAAACCCTAACTAGGTTGTACTCGCTATAGAGCACCCCACTAAAGGCTAGATAGTAACATTCTGACAGTAGAAACTCACACTCAGAGGCTTTGGCCAGTAGGTGGTTCTCACCTAGTAAATTAAAAACTTTTTTGATATCCTGCAGGTGTTGTGCTCTGTCTGGGCTGTCAATCAGTATATCGTCTAAGTAGACAATGACGCACTTATCTAAAAGCGAGCGAAAGGCTTCGTTCATGGTCATTTGGAAGCTTTTAGGGGCGTTGGTCCATCCAAAAAGCATTACCGTGTATTCGAATTATCCATATCAGGTTCAGAAGGTGGTTTTCGAGCAATCGGGCGGATTGACTCAGACATGGTGGTAACCCCTCTTAGGTCGATGTTCGAGAAGACTTTGGCTGTGCAAAGTCGGTCGATTAGTTCGTCGGCTCGTAGGATGGGGTAACTGAATTTGATAATAACTCGGTTCAGTGTGAGCTAATCTATGCACATGCAAAACACCCCGTCTTTTTTTTATATGAATAGTATTGGTGCTGCGAAAGGCAACGAATTCAGGCAAATGAACCGTTTTTCGAGCACATAATCCAGCTGATTCCGTAGTTCGTCCAGTTTGGGTTGGGTCTGTCAAAATTGTCGATGTACTATCGGCTCTGCCCCCGGTTCCAGTTCTATCCTAAGGTTGTTCGGTCGCTGAGGTGGCAGTCCCTCCGGTAGATCGTCCGGAAAAAAACCCGCTATACTGCTTCAGTAGCGCTGCCAAGTCATGCGGTACATCGGCAAGCAGTTTCTGCAAATCACTCAACTTCTCTGCTGCCTCGGCTTCCTGAATGTCAACCGCGTACACGGCGCATTTCATCGTGATCTTATTGACACGCACCAACGAAGACTCATGCAAGCTTTAGCGAGGTAGGGCAATGTTGTTACCGTTCACTCTCACGGTGCACTCACCCGTCGTCCAGTCGATTTGCGGATTGTGTCATCATAGCCAATCACGGCTGAGTGAAATGTCGGTTCCGTCAAGGGTCGTTGCGAGCATTTCTTGGGTAAACGTGAAGCTACCCCCGCATCGAATCTGAATTCGGTCCACACGTTCTCGTATCGCAAGTGGTGTGCCGTTGACCAAACTTGCATCAATCTCAGGTTAACATTTGTCCAGTGCCAGTTTCACTCTCTATGCTGTGGTGGTGTTGATCAGGCTGTGACTAGCCCCCCTGTCCGTCTATGAATATTTTAATTAAGTCCGTCTGTATCTTCCCGCTAAGCAGTATGGGGCTGTCTACCAGTGTACCCTCCTTATTCGGCCGGGTGTGGTCAATTGCGTGAACCAGCACAATCACTCGGTGAGGGTCGATTCGGTCGAGCGAGCGGCGTGACCTGTCATTAGAGGGCCCGTCTGCTACTGACTCCTATCGTTTCCTTGCTGCGTGGTCTGTTTTTGCTGCTCAGCATCCCCCTTTCCCTTAGCGTTTTCCGGGCATTCGCTCTTACGGTGCCCTGGCATGTTGCATGCAAAGCAGCGCCCTTTAAATGGTGCGGCAGCGGCATTCGCGGCAACAGCACGTATCGTGGCGTGCTCGTATGTTCCACAAGGCCGATGTTCCCAGCTGGTGCTGCTGCTGCTGCCGTAGGACCCCGGTCCCAGTCGTCGTATCTCCGCCAGAACGAAAATGTTGTGAAATTAGGTGATGTTGCAAAGCTGAATTTCTTGGGCGATCTCGTGCTTCAGGCCGCCAATGTAGCGGTCGATGCGCTCTCCCTCGTGCATATAGCCCACCTGCTTGTACAACGTCAGAAACCCGCTGGTGTAGTCCTGGATGGAACCAAGCTGGCGCCAAGTGCGGAGCCTGTGTCGCGCCGCAATCAAAGACGCGATTGGCTCGAATTATGCACACAGACCTGCACACCACGCATCCCACGTGCGATATTGGGGTACGTCCACAAAATGCGATGGCGCCCAGGGTCCAGTTTGTCCTTCCTGTGTCGGTAGTGTTTCGTAGTCCACCGACTTTGTGACGACGACGCGCCACCAGTCCATGGCGGGTCCTAGCAGCAGTGACATGGAGTATTGAATCTTCACCGAGACTTCCGAGACTTAGTTGGCGTTGAAGAAAACGTTCATCGTGACCAACCACGTCTGAACGGTTGGACCAGACCACCCCGCTGGCTTGGGTCGAAGCAAGGCGGATATTGCACCTTGAGCGGCATCGGCGACGGTAGTGCTGACTCACCGGTCGGCACCGAAATCGTGACGCGATGTTGGCTTCTTGCCGCATTCGTCGCTTCGGGGTTTATCGTGTCGTGGTCGTCGTCTCTGTCGTTGCGGGTGACGCCATCACTAGCCGTGCTCGAGTGTTGCCCCACGCTTCTGTGTTGCGAATCTCAACGTGCTGCTTGTCCGTATGTGCCTTGTGCTTGTGACTGTGCTTGTTGCACCCAAACGACATCAGTTTGCAGCGACGTACATTCTGTCGTCAGCGCCGCGATTTCTTCATAATTTCCACGCAGCTACTGCAGTAGTTCCTTAAGGCGCTCCTGCATGAATGTCGGGACATCAACGTGCTCGGCCATGTCGAAGGACGGCATTTTGTCTTAGCTCTAGGCGCAGATGTGGTTGCACGCGCTTACAAGAGAATGCAAAGACATCGGCTCCTAGGTGCTAAGAGGCGTGAGTCCCTTCGAGTGCAAAAATCAAAAGTTGATTTCTCTGGGTGCGGAGATACGCGGTCCGAAATAAAAAAATTGCTCTGCATACCAAGTGTTACGGGTGCAATGGAACGAGATAGCGTCGATTCCACTACGTGTCAAATGAGTACAAAGTATGAGCGAATGCATGAGCGGATACTTATGTGCGAAACATGCAACGGTTACGCGGTGCGTGCGAGCTAGCTAGTGCTAGGCTGACATCGAGGTTCGGGCTAGCCCAGAAGCGTAGGCCGACTCAGCCGGGCCAGCGGTGCATGGTTTGGTGAAACAGTGCGCGCGAAGTTGGGGAAGCCCCGTTAGCAGTAACGGGCGAATAACCGCTGCTGCGAAGTTGGCGAAGCCCCGTTAGCAGTAACGGTCGAATAACGGCTGCTGCTGTATGCGATGTTGAAGAACGCCATAAGGAATGCTAAAATAATCCTTACAGCTGGCAACATTGCACAACCCTCTGCGCCTACTTGACTTGACATATTTGAAACATGTAAACCGAACCAGTCACAGAACAGGCTGCCGCCAGCGCATTATCATAACTTGCGAAAGTTTTCGGAGTTCATGCACCGTAACGTCGGGTTCCTGGGTAAAGGGGTGGGGGGGGAGAGAAGTGGGGGGGGGGAGGGGGGGAGGGTGGGGGGGTTGTACTCTGTTCAGGGTAAAACTCGCTAAGGAAAAAAGTTAGTACTCTGAGGCATCAGTGTGAAATATTTCACTACATTGACAGATCAGGGAAAAACTAATCCTTCGGAAAAAAGAAATCAGGGCAAAAAGTGTGAGCCAAGAAAACTACCCTGATCATTTGTGTACAAGGGTAATTTGCACTGATAAAATAGGCACTGGGTTGGAGACGGCCCTTCACGCTGGCTGGAAGGGCTGTCCACAACCTTAGAGAGCCTTCTCTCAAGCAACTGACCCCCCAGGAGAATTGACCATGAGATTGATAGCATTGGCAAGGTACCGTAAGCTGAGTATAAAACAGAAGAGCAGAATGTTTCAGCTGAGGACCTGCCAACAGATTTGTTGTGAACCCCTTTTTTTCAGCCAGCATCGACAATACAAAGTAAGCAGAGGCACACAATTATCCACCCCCACGAAATGTAGTGTACACTACAATACATTCGCCATAGGCGCCTAGAGACAGAAGCCCACAAATCACAGCCCACGTAAATGCAGCAAAGTGATGCCATAAACCCTTGCAGCAGCATTGATGCTCTCAAGAAGGTAGCTGTCCTCCCTGCTCTCTCTGTGAAGAAGGCAGCAGGCAAGGAGAAGCAGGCTGCTGCCTGCTGACCATGCCGAGCATCCCGGGCTAGAAAACAGAAAGTGTTGCTATCCTGCTTAACCCATCAGCCCCTTGCCTGGTGCTCTCCCACTGCTACCCTGCTTAACCCATCAGCCCCTTGCCAGGTGCTCCTCCCACCGCTGCACACCAAAGAGTGGAGGAAATGCACACAATAGGGAAGAACATTCACTCAGTAAAATCATTGGCTGGATATGATTGCTGTAGATGAGGAGTGTTGATGGATGGAGAAATTACAAACATTCTGTGATAGTGGGGTGAATGTTGGGTGAATGTGGGGTGAATGTGGGGCGACCCACAAATTTCTGCAGGGGGGTGGGGAGAATAAAACACAACTCACTGTTCTTGGCAGTTCGTCCAGCTCCCCGTTTGCGCCTCCGGGTCACACGCACGCACTTGATGTCACTCTTGCTCTTGCTGATGTTCTTCTTATTCTTATTCTTCCTCATCATGGTGTATCCACTCTCGCAGCGACATGTGGGCTTCGCAGCCACCACTGCACACTTGGCGTTAATGGGGCAGGTAGGCTTGCAGAATGCTGCGGACGGGAAAAGATGCCACAGAAAGGAAAACGCCGAGTGACGAGACGCCGCAACGACGTGTGAAGTATGCGATGCACATCTGGTAGAACGAGGAGTGAAGGCGATAAAAGGATGGAAATGTATTGAAGGAGTTGCAAGATTATGTTTGAGGTATGAAGAAAGTGAGACATGCGTAAATCGTCACACGAGCCCCAAAGTTTCCCGAGCGATGTAAGAAACGCATTGTGCTCAACATTGCCCATCACTCCTCACCAGTGCAAATGCCATTCTTCTTAACGAAGCCTGTGCTGCACTCGCACTTTGCCTTGCCATTCGTCTTCGCACTGCACACCGCATTCGCCGTACACTTGGTAGCCGCACACGGATCCATGTCTGGCGTGATTCAGGGGGGAGTGAGAGGGGGGAAGGGGGGAGAGAAAGGTAGACGGAAGATGAGCACGGCGTTTAACATATACACAAGGCCTCTCCCACACAGGGAAGCCATCAGCTAAGAGGAAAGAACTCTGAAGAAAAGAAACTTAAAAAAATAAAAATAAATCACTGGCAGCGTGGGAGGCTCGTCTGGACGAGTAGGAGTGACCCTTGAGCGGCATGGGTCAGTGCTGTGCTGACCTTGGCACGTCTTGGTAGCGGTGATGAAAGAGAGGCTCCCCGGGCACACGCACTGTGATGTGCCGTCGTCCCTCAGAGTGCACTTAGCCGTCTCACCGCAATCCTCACTGCACACTGGCGTGGGAGGCTTGGCTGGATCTGGATGGCAAGGCAGGGAGAGTATACGGGATTGCAGAGGCGAGCGTTGGTTAGGTAAGGACAAATACTGCTGCCCATCCGACACTTGAGAAACAGAAGTGGTGAAGAAAGGAGTTTGGTGGTTGGGACAAAACATTGCCGCCCATCCGACAGTTGAGGAGCATGAGTGGGAGTGACCCTTGAGCGGCATGGCTCAGTGCTGTGCTGACCTTGGCACGTCTTGGTAGCGGTGATGAAAGAGAGGCTCCCCGGGCACACGCACTGTGATGTGCCGTCGTCCCTCAGAGTGCACTTAGCCGTCTCACCGCAATCCTCACTGCACACTGGCGTGGAAGGCTTGGCTGGATCTGGATGGCAAGGCAGGGAGAGTATACGGGATTGCAGAGGCGAGCAGTGGTTAAGTAAGGACAAAAATTGCTGCCCATCCGACACTTGAGAAACAGAAGTGACGAGAAGGCGAATGGTGGTTAGGATGGGACAAAACATTGCCACCCATCCGACAGTTGAGGAGCATGAGTAGGAGTGACCCTTGAGCGGCATGGCTCAGTGCTGTGCTGACCTTGGCACGTCTTGGTAGCGGTGATGAAAGAGAGGCTCCCCGGGCACACGCACTGTGATGTGCCGTCGTCCCTCAGAGTGCACTGAGCGACCTCACCGCAACCCCCACTGCATTCTGACATGGGGAAAGCTCATGAAGGAGCGAAAGCAGATAGGCGAGCGGTTGTCAGGTGAATGGACCAATCCGCATGACACCCCCTCGTGACACCCCCTCATGACACCCCCTCGTGACATACACTCTAAGGAACTGGTGACAAGGTGAGGGATGAGCACGGAAGGCTGCCTCTCTCAGGGCGCACTCAAATACATTCACCAATAGAGAGGCTTGAGTCTCGGGCACCCACACTCAGAGCATTGCCTGCCTCACGACGCACTCACTCTCCTTACGCATGCATGCACCACTCCCACTCAATCATGCATGCGCCACTCACCGAAGCACCCCTTCTGCTTGTCGGAGTAGAGTTGAGAGCGAGGGCACACACATATCTGATTGCCGTTCCTCTCGACGCACCTAGCAGTCAACCCACAGTCCAGCCAGCAGCCTAGGGACAAGCAGGGTGCAATCGTGGAGGCAGGGAGGATAAGAGGGAAGGCGGAGGGAGAAGAACGAAATTATCGAGGTTCCTGGTTCAAATGCAGCATTCTACATCCCATTGAGCTTGCGACTAGATGCTAAGGACACAGCAACTTGCTGGCGTCGGTGACGTGGCAGCTGATGCATCGTGCATGTGGCAGCGTGTGTGTGACACATGCCGTGTACCATGCTGAATGAACCTCAGCATCGGCCTTCCGGCTGGGCATGCGCACACCACACCACCACACCACACCACACCACCACACCACATTGCGCCACACCACCTCTACACCACACAGCAAACCCCGCAGCAAACCCCGCAGCAAACCCCGAGGAGTCAGAGCTGAGCAGCGCGGTGCAGTGCAGTGTGGGCGGCGGGACTTGGCACATGCATGCCGCTGGGAGAGCATTGCAAGGAGTGCTGGTGCAGCCGTGCAATCTTACCCCTCTCGCATCGCACTGACGCTGGCAGGTCGGCGGCATTGAGCGTCCTGAGAGCAGCCGAGAGGGCATGGCGGCAGCAGGGGCGCACACGAAATGATGGTGAGACTTGCGATACGTGAAAAACGTTTGAAGGCCTCAAAAGGCGGCGAGGGGGCACAGGAGATTATCTGGATTGCTCATGTCAATCGCAGAGACACGTGGACGGTGGAGAGAGTGGCAAATCAGCACCCACCGAACCAAACAAGCTGCCCCAACTGCCTCGGCAGGAAGCTTTGACCGTTGCGCGGCAGATGTGAGTGCGTACTCACCACTTGGTGTCGTCGGGGATCGACGGGGGGCGCAGGTACGTCACGTCGGGGCCTCCCGCGCAGTCCCGCGCGGAGTGGAAGGCGATGGCGTTGCACGTGGGGTTGCCGATATTGATAATGCGGCTCTTTGCGCCCCACGCGATCGTCGCCGAGACTTGCGACCCCTTGGCGAACTTGTCGCGATTCACGTTGTCGCACAGAGGGTCGCTCTTAACGCTGGAAAACGTTGACGATAACAATCCACCTAAGAGTCCACCCGAGCTTTTGAACTGCACATCCGTGTCGCACGTTAACGCGCTGGTTTCCGCGAGGAGCGCCGCGAGGGCAATGAAAGCAGCGAGGGCCGCGGCGAGGCCGGATTGAAGGGCGGAACGTGGCCGGCCGCGACGCGCCATGATGACGACGCGGAGAGGCTAGAGTGGTTGATGGCGAACGGAAACTGATGCTGGGCGATGCACCGTGGTGACGTGACCACGTGGTGCCGCGGTCCGCCACTAGGTAGCGCCTACGGCTCTGGACTGAAGGCTGTTGTTCCGATGGAGGATGCCACGCTGAAGAAAAATGGCGCAATCTCGTCGTTCTCGTCGTCCACAGGAGGTGGCGGAAAGAGCTTTTGCGGCGAATTAGTGCGACTTCGCGTCGCAAGCGTCGCAAGGTGCAGCGATGCGTGAGGTGAGAGCGAGAAGGAAGAATACGCGTGTGGAATGGCAAGATATGATGAACGGAGGGAAGGGGGGGGGGCGCTTATGTAGTGAGAAAACGGCTACCACTGCCGCCATAGCCGGGGGAGGGACGAGAGCGGGAGGTGAAGAGAGCGTGAAGGAGAACCTTAGTGCAGCCATCCGGCGATGGCGCACGGCGGATGAGTCGACGCTGATGATTGGACGACGCTGCATATCGCTAATACTCAACATCTCGCATTGCCGCAGAGATGGCGCGAATACGCGGTCGACTGGAAACACTGTCAGCGGAACTGCGATCAATTACGTTATTGGTGTGCTTGACTGCCAGAACGCGATCCTGGAAAGGATGGGGTGTGGATGATGGAGATGCTCGGGGGGCGTCATATTTCTACATTTTGGGCTTCCTTAGCTCGGTCGAACTCCTCACATCACGGTTGGGAGCGGTCTGTCTCTTCACCGCTTAAAACCGTTTGGGCACCAGGGCTGCGCTCTGCAGGCGCATCAGCCCGCATCAATGTACATTGATGCGTTCTACCATGGCTCCAGGTATTTTCTACGATAACCTGCCGACAGGTTATCAAGGTTCGCGATAAGCGTATGGCTGCCGAAGCTAAACAAACCCGAATGCCTGCAGAACGGCCTTTTTGGCTCACGCATTCGCATTTTTTTCATTCGTCAAGAAATTGAATGTCCAATTTCTTGACCCCAAATCAATTTCGCCAGATTTTCCAAACCTCAATTTCAAATGTCCGAACCTCAATCTCTCAATTTTCAATTCGCAATTTCCGAACCTCAATTTCTCAATGTGCGGTTCAGGCCGAGCCTCAGACGCATCAGAGCTGATGCGTCTGCAGAACGCAGCCCAGACTGAAAGCTACCAATAAAACTCGTAGACGAATTTTATGACCTGCGCTTGGGTTGTAACGTGTAGAATTTGATTGACCTCCGTCTCAATTGATCTGAGATATGGTACAGCCGTATTAGTAACAGCCTAATTCCATGACCCATCATCAACATCAATAATCAACATTTTTTTGGTAAATTGTTGAACGTGCGAGCCAAACAGACATGGGCAAGGTCATAATGAAAACATCCTGGTTGCTCTAAGATGCTATTCAGGCCTTTTCTATGTGAACCTTGATCACGATTTTGAGTAATTGTTCAGGCCTTGATTCGCAGACCTGTGGCGTTCCTCCTAGAACACTGGAGGTGTTGAGGTTGTGTTGGCAGTCACTGGCCAGCCGTATGCTTCTAGTCGGAGATGAGGTTGAAGCAGACAACTCAGGTCGCTGGTTAGAAACGGGACGAATAGAACGGATAATTAAGTCCACATCGTGATGGAATGGAGAGAAGGGTGTTACGAATAGTAAAAGATGAAGCATTACTGTGCACTCCTCACCGCAGCAATCGAAGCACGCACTATCGAGGCTGAAGACAAAAAGGTGGAAGTGACGCAAAGGGTCGTACGGTCACGAAAGGATCTTGACCGTCGGGCAGACCGCATCAGGCAGTAGTAGTGGTGAGGATTCTGCCCAGGCAGTTCGTAATCGTATGGAGCCGCACGGTTGAATTTTGCTGTAATAAGGGAATGCACCCCTTAGAATACATGGCTAGCTAGGTCGCTTCGTATTCCTCCCTGTACTCTTATTTATACCTTTATATTTGTATGTTTTAATCTCAAACATTTTACATTCACTCTACTTTTTAGGTCAAGGGCCCACCACCACAGAACCAGTTGTGTGCGAACCTTCCTGAGGTGATCCTAGGGACGATCAATTTCTGATCGCAGCATGGTATAAGAGTGACTCGGGAATCCTTCGCACTGCCACGTCCGAAAACTTCGGCGATCGAAAGGTGGCGTTAGGCACACGCTTGCGCGTGAGAATGGCCGGAGGATCTGGTGGTCAGACGAATCTGACAGCTGAAGCGCAGACCAACCCAGCTGCGACAAGCGAGGAAATGACGACGATTGGAACCAGCGTTCTCGCACAACCGCTTCAGCGACCCACCAGCTTGGAGCAAGGATTCCAAAGATTGCGGAATGGCAACGTGGGAACTTCTTCCCAACCCTCTCAACCGGCCTCGAACGGCCACAATACCGCCTCGCACACCTTCTCCTTCGACACAAATGGCTCTACTCCCAAGACTCCCCGTCCCAGCGAAGAAGCAATTCTCTCTGCGCAATTAAGGTTTTTGAGCATATAAAAAATAAAAACATGTCAGATTTATATGACATAGCTACTGTAGGCTATAGTCGGGTAGCACATATGAGGTACAGCTTTCTAGGGTTTGTACTTGTACCCAACTTTCCCTTAGTCATTTCATTCTCGTTTCTTCTCATGGTATCAGAGCGGTCTCGGGTTCGATTCCCGGTGTATGCACATGTAGGCCGTTGCCGCTGTGCTTAGTCCTGGGCCTCCCACTGTGGGGGGGTGTCAGTAGATCTGCACTGTGGATACCCGATTGATCCCGGAGAGGGTTACAGGCGCGTTCGCCTGGGGGGTTATGGGCGGACTGACCCGCTACTGAAACAAGCCTTTTTATCCCAATGGTCTAGTGGTTGGGATTCTGTCATGGTTTCAGAGCAGGTTCCCTAGTGGGAACGCTACCTAGGGCCCAGCACGAATTTTTTTCCTGCCCGGAGCGCGCCTTGGACTAGACCGAGTCGCACGCGCCCCGTGTGCCCTCCCTACCGTAGCGCCGCCCTTTGTGGCCCCTTGCGCTGCCCGTCGACCCCACACACCGCCCTAGCGGCCCCTCCTTGCGCCACCCGTCGACCCCGCGCGCCGCCTTAGCGACTCCCTGCGCCGCCCGTCGACCCCGCGAGCCGCCCTAGCGGCCCCCTGCGCCACCCGTCGACCCCGCGCGCCGCCCTTGCGGCCTCGCCGCCCTTGCGGCCTCGCCGCCCTTGCGGCCCCGCCGCCCTCACCTGCGGTCCTCGCCGCCCTTACCTGCGGTCCCCGCCGCCCTCAACTGCTGCGGCCCCGCCGCCCTCAACTGCTGCGGCCCCGCCGCCCTCAACTACGGCCCCGCCGCTCTTCTCTGCGGCCCCGCCGCCCTCTGCTGCGGCCCCGCCGCCCTCAACTGTGGCCCCGCCGCCCTTCTCTGCGGCCCCACCGCCCTCTGCTGCGGCCCCGCCGCCCTCACCTAAGGCCCCGCCGCCCTCACCTGCGGCCCCGCCGCCCTCACCTGCGGCCCCGTCGCCCTCACCTGCGACCCCGCCGCCCTCTGCTGCGGCCCCGCCGCCCTCACCTGCGGTCCCGTCGCTCTCACTGCGGCCGTCGCCCTCACCCGTCACCCTCACCTGCGGCCCCGCTGCCCTCTGCTGCGGCCCCGCCGCCCTCACCTGCGGCCCCGTCGCTTTCACCTGCGGCCCCGCCCCTCTCGTTGGCGGCCCCGCCGCTCTCATCTACGGCCCCGTCACCTGCTGCAGCGCCGCCCGCCGCCCGGGCTTCCCGACCCACCCCACCCAGCCGAGCAGCCGACCGCCGCGCCACCCTGCAGCAGCACCGTCGAGCCGCCCGGGCAAGCGAGCAGCCAGACAGCCGGCCGCCGAGCCGCCCAGCAGCAGAGCAGCCGAGCCGCCCAGCAACCGAGCCACCATGCAGCTGAGCCGCCCAGCAGCCGAGCCGCCCAGCAGTCGAACCGCCGGACCGCCGAGCCGCACTGCAGCCAAGCCGCCCAGCCACCCAGTAGCCGAGCCGCCGATCTGCCGAGCCGCCCTACTGCCGAGCCGCCCGAGCTGCCCTGTCCGGTGAGCACAGTGCCTCCTTTTTGCTACAGTGCCCTCACCCTACTGTTGCATTGCTAGTCTACTGTGGTCATGGCTACCCCTAGTGTCCTCGCTTTTGACGCTGAGGGTCGAGCCATTGACTTTGACGTCTGGGTAGATGACCTGCAGCTGTTCTTACAGTGCGATAGGGCAGACGGTCTCTCTCTCTTTGACCTCACCTCTGGCGCCTCTCCTGGCCCTACTGTTGATACTGACGCCACTGTTCGTTCCCAGTGGGCCACGCGCGACGCTGCTGCATGTCTTGCTGTGCGTCGCCACCTCCCTACCTCCGAGCGTGCGCACTTTAGTCAGTACAAGAGTGCTCAGACCTTGTACGACGCTGTAGTTGCGCGCTACTCCTCCCCTGCCTCTGCTGCACTGAGCCGTCTCATGCTACCGTACCTCTTCCCTGACCTTACTGCCTTTCCAACAGTCGCTGACCTCATTACGCACCTCCGCACTAGTGACAATCGCTACCGCGCTGCGCTTCCTGCTGACTTCTGCGCCAAGAACCCCCCCCCCCCCCATGTACATCACTCTCTACTACATAGTCACTCGCCTCCCTGACTCCCTTCGCGTAGTCAGGGACCACTTCCTCTCAGTCTGTCCCACCACTCTCACTGTTGACCTCCTCGAGAAGTCCCTCCTAGCAGCCGAGAAGAGCATAGTCGCTGTAGGGGCCTCTTGTGGTGACCCGCGCACCCCCATCTTTGACGGGTATTTCCCCTCCCCCCTTCTGCCCTCTGTTGCCTCTGCTGCTGCGGCCGACCTGCTTGGTCTTGAGTCGGTCGGTGCGGCGTCTGCCCCTAGCGGGAGACGCCGCTGTGGCAAGGGCAAGGGGGGCAGGGGCACTGGAGGGGCGAGCGGGGGCGGTGGAGGTGGAGGTGGAGGCGGCGGGGGGAGTGGGGGTGGCGGTGGGAGTGGTGGTGGGGGTGGAGGT